ATCCTCTTATATACTGAGAAGACAAAGACAACCATCCTGCGAAAATTGCCAAACTTTGATGACGGTTAAACACCTTCTCTTAGAATGCCACCAGTATGAAGCCGATCGACAACGATATAACTTACCGGATAATATCAGAACTTGCCTCGGTACCAAAGCTATAAGAAATGTTTTGAACTTTCTGAAGGCAACAGACCTTTTTAACAAAATATAAACAGATATTGTATACTGCAAAATATCTAATGACCTCAGCAGTCGATGCCAGAATAATAATAAAAAAAATTAGAATACAATAACCGAACAAATAAATCAAAGAAAATTTGGTACAACATTTTCATCGTACTAGTCAACATAAATATAAAATACTAGTTCTTGAAAAGTAGTGAAAATTATCACAATAAAAATGTTTACATTTATAACACTGAAACACATTAACAACAAACGTGTGCAATTATAAAATGCATGTGCAAAAGAGGCATTGAATTGTCACAACAAAAAATTGCGTTGTATGAATTCATAACACTGTAAATATAAAATACAAGTTCAATACAAATATAAATAATTCATAACTATCACTGACTGCACTGAGAGCAGACAAGCCCTATTACTCTGGAACAGACAACGTGTTACCTCAGGGCTAGCACTAGAGTGCCACCAAGATTTAGCCAAAGCCTCGGTAGATAATAACATTATCCTGATGTGGGTTAAATGGCACGAGTAAAGGTAATCGCATTGCCGACTCTTTAGCCAAGAAAGCGGCTGGACTAAGAATTTCAGGACCCAGTGGCACCTACGGCCTGATGACTTTGACAATTGCGGAACTAGCCAAATGTTACATCCATGCTCAATCCCTAAAGAGATGGGATGGAATCAAAGGATGCAATCTTGTCAGGATCACCCTGGGCGGCCCTGAGAAGCTGGTGCCAAAGAAATATCTGGCGATGACCAGGAAAAATCTATGCTTAAAAGTAGGATTTCTGACTGGCCACTGTCAGCTAAGGAAACACCTCCATAATATGGGGCTAGTGGACACACCTTTATGCAGGAAGATGAGACTGTGAGGCATGTCCTATGCAAGTGCTTGGAGTTATCGTCAATTAGAGAGTGTGTGTTCGGCGAGTCTTGGCCTACACCTGCCGATATAAAGGAGATGTCTCCCAGTGACCTGTCCACCTTACTGGAAAGGACAGGATGGACGATGACCTAGGAGGACAATTCCTCGAGAGGATGTATAATGGGTCACATGTGGCCTAAGTGCTGTAGGCTTACACTCACCCCCCCTACTCTACATATACAGAAGTATCACTGAAACATCAAATTTAATAATAATGTATAACTAGGATTTGAAGACCAAGTCTAATTTCACAACAGAAGCCTCATAAACAACATATTCTGAATTGTAAAATTTTATTCCTGAACTGAATTTCACTTCTGGATTTCCTGTACATTCTTTGTTTCAATTTCAGAAAAATTATGAAGTAGATGCAAGAGATATTCACATAATTGGACATTCTCTCGGGGCGCATACAGCAGGTTATGCAGGCTCTCTAGTACAGGGGTTAGGAAGAATAACTGGTTTAGATCCAGCAGAGCCATACTTTCAGGTGAGATATTGTAACAGTGAACTCTTTGAAACTACATTATCATTGAAGTAATCGTTAGTCAAAACTGTCGTGAGTAAGTGAGTATAACAACTCTCTTCACAAAAACATCAACTTTGGAATCGCAGCTGAATCCAAACATTCGACTCATGACCCAGTTATATTGTTCTATGATATTAGATTCACGATTTCGAGTTCTAGTGTCAATGAGTTATCTGTAAGCAACGAAATATACAGAGGGGTTGAAAGCTTTAATTATTGAGTTTTTTGTTCTCGTAAATTACGTTTTCAAAAGAAAAGTCGTCATACCCACTATCTAAAATTAAAAATGGATTCGCGGTATATTTCGTC